CTGGGTTTGTAAGACTAGAAAATGGAATCTCGAGGTCAAAGGGAATTGACATTTTAGTTACTTCATCTGCATAATTCCAAATTGATTTCCAAAACTGCTATACTAATTCATATACTAACTCCACTAATAATGCACTAGTGTTCCTATCTCAACACAATTCCTTCAACATGGATTACAACCACCTTTTGTCATCTTTGCTAATTTGCAGGGTGTGAATTGAAAACTTGACTTGCATTTCTCTTAATATTACTGATTTGGTGCATTCTTTCATACGGCTGTTACCAGTTTGGAATTCTTTTGAGGACTGTTTTAACTCCTTATTTTACTGTTGACAAAACTGAGACTCAAAGAGGTTAGCAGTGTCACCCTTCTCCCCCGCCCCCATACCGAATTAAGGTCTAAGGTCATATGGCTAGAGTATAGTTTCAGTAGACTAGAGTGAACAAAAAAACCAGACTGTAGCAATGCTTTCATAAAGCAACTCTAAATGATTAACAGAAAATAAATCAAGCCAAAAAAGATAGAGGTCAAATTTAAGTTATTTTTCTGTAATTTAAACAAGTATAGCACTTTCCCTGAGATATTTCTTCTTTGTTGTTGTTTAGTTGCGTTTGACCACAGGGTTTTCTTCAAAAAAATACTGTAGTGGTTTGCCATTACTCTAGTGGAATTAGCAAACAGAGGTTAAGTAACTTGCCCAGGGTCACACAGCTAGTAAGTGTCTGAGGCCAGATTTGAACACTGGTCTTCCTGACTCCAGGCCCAGTGCTCCATCCACTAAGCTACCTAGATGTCCCATATTTCTCCTATGCCACCCTTAAAGCTTGTTCAAAACTAGTTTACATTTGTAATTGATTGAACAGAGGAGTCTAGCTCTTACCTACTTTACAAATTTTGATTGAATGATACAATAGACATGTTTGGAACTTCGGTAATTACATTAATTGAAGGTTGGGATATAAAATCCAACACTTAAACAAGAATATTTTCCTAAGCAAACATGATAGAAAGAGAGTGCAGCTGTTGCTCAGAGGAAAGAGCAATAAATTTGGAATTAGATCCTAGTTTGAATCCTGGCTCTGCTATTTACTACATGTCTGACTAGGACAAAACACTCTTTCTCTGGGCCTCAGTTTCTTTGTTGATAAAATACGGGTATTGGACTACATGATCTAAAGTCCCTTCCAGATCTTACATTATATGAATCTAAAAAACAATTTGAAGTTAAATCAAAAACACATTTCAAACTCAACCCTGGCCATCATTTATTTAAAATTACAAAATTCTTAAAAATGATAAAGATCTTAAGTAGTACACAAATATTAGTCAACCGTAATAATAGTAGAACTCGAGACATTTTTTTTGCCCATTCACCCAGGTATAAACTGAGTGCATTTTTCAGACCTGAAAGGAAACAAGATATAGGTCAAGAACAGATGGACAGAGAGGCCCTTGCTAATGTTCCATGCTCTCTCATTTTGAAAATTAATTTTTAAAAAATAAATGAAAATCTGCCTTCTCTCTCGCACCTCTCCCTACCTCCATTGAGAAAGAAAGAAAAACAAAACCTTTGTTACAAATATGTATACTCAAGCAAAACAAATTCCAACACTGGTCATGTCCTGCCTCCTCCCACCCCCACATGCCTCAGTTTGTACCTTGAATCCATCACCTGTCAGAAGGTAGGTAGTATGTTTCATCGTGAGTCCTCTGGAATCCTGGTTGATCATTGCATTGATCAGAGTCCCCAAGTCTTTCAAAGTTGTTTGTCTTTATAATATTATTATTGGATCCATTGTTTTCCTGATTCTGCTCACTTCACTCTACATCAGTTCATATAACCTTCCCAGGTTTCTCTTTCATCACTTTTTTTTTTTTGCTTTTTAGTGAGGCAAGTGGGGTTAAGTGACTTGCCTAGGGTCACACAGCTAGTATGTGTCAAGTGTCTGAGACAGGATTCAACTCAGGGCCTCCTGACTCTAAGGTCGGAGCTCTATCCACTGCACCACCTAGCTGTCCCTCTTTCATCATTTCTTACAACACAATAGTATTCCATCACATTTATATACTATAACTTATTCAGCCGTTGTCCAATTGATGGTCACCTCCTCCATTTCCAATTCTTTGCTATTGCAAAATAACTGCTATATTTTTGCATATAGGGATCCTGTTCCTTTTTTTTTTAAATTCCTTTGGGGTATAAACACAGTAGTGGTATCATTGTATTAAAGGGATTTATAGTTTAATAATGTGAGGGGCATAGCTGGCTGGACCAACTCACAGTTTCACTAACAGTGCATTACTATATGTTTCTCCACAGCCTGTCTAGAATTTGTTATTCTCTCCTTTTGTCAACTTTGTCAATCATACTGGTGTGAGGAAAAACCTGAGAGTGGTTTTAGTTTTCATTTCTCTAATTATACTTTTAGAGTATTTTTTTTAAGATGCCTATTGATATCTTGAATTTCTGCCTTAGGAAAAAGGCCTGTTTATATCCTTTGCATATTTATCAACAGGACCCTTGATAAATGGGCTCTTATTCTTATAAGTGTAAATAAGTTCTCTATATAGCTTAGAAATAAGACCTTTATAAGAGAAACTTGCTACAAAATTTTTTTTTCCAATTTACCTGACTCTCTTCTAACTTTAGCTACACTAGTTTTGTTTGTGCAAAACTTTTTAAAAATTTTTCTGTAATCAAAACTGTGCATTTTACCTTCTGTGATTCTCTTCACCTCTCATTTAGTCATAAATTCTTTCCCTATCTATAGGTTGGACTGGTAATTTATTTCTTGCTTCTCTAATTTGTTTATTATGTTATCCTTTATGTCTAAGGTATGTATGCATTTGGAGCTTATCTTGGTATATGATGTGAATAGTCCTTACCTACTTTCTATCAGACTACTCAATAGTTTTTGTCACATAATAAGTTCTTACCCCAATAGCTGGGATCTTTGGCATTATTAAACACTAAGCTACTATGCTAATTTCCTTCTTGTTACACTGATTAACCTTCTGTTTCTTAAATAGTATCAAATTATTTTGATGATTACTATTTTGTAGTATGGTTTGAAATCTGGTACTTCTAGGCAATTCTTTTGCATGTTTTCACTTTTTTAATTATTTACATTGAGATTGTTGACCAAAAGTTCCTCCAGATAAATTGTGTTTTTAATTTTCTAATTTGTTATAGCTCTATAAAATAGTGGTAGTTTGATTGGTATGGACTGAATAAGTAAATTAATTTAGGTAGTATTATCATTTTTATTATATTGGCTCAGCCTACCCAGGAACAATATTTCTCCAATAATTTAGATCTGTCTTTACATGTTTAAAGACTATTCTCTAAATTGCATTCATATTTCCTTTGTGTGTCTTGGTAAGCAGACTAACAATATTTTATACTTTCTGTCTAACATTCCCCATTGTTACAACAGCCCAACGGTGTTTACCTCAAGGGCAAATAGTAATGTTTTTTTCCTATGCCCTTGGCATAAACAAAAAATTTTGTTTTCTGAAAGGTTTCAGTATTACAATTTCCTCAAACAATAAACTGCTCAGTAAACTTTGCCCCCCAAGAAAGAGAAGTTAGGTACCAATTTCTCTGGCTCTTTAAATGTAGGACATCATTTCCCAGTCTTACATTCACTTGTTTCATCATCTCCTTTTTTGGAAAACTTTTTAATTATCTCAAAAACTATTTTGAGATAAATATCACATCCCCAATAATACTTACAAAGATTTACATTAAAATTCCTAGAAGAGATGCTGCATGAAGGTCTTGAAATAGCAAACTGAAAAATTATATTGTCAGGTATCCCAGAGATAAGCAAGCACTCCCAAAAATATGCCCTGCCAGTTGTTTAATGGCATGATTATAGCCCAGGGCAAGAAATTAAGATTGCAATTTCTATTTCTGCCTCACAACTCTCCTCTATCATATTTTCACAACTCTTTAATTTCTTTTCAATTAATCAACCAATATTTATTAATCGCCTACTACGTTCCAAGCACTGCGCTAAGCATTAGACGCTGTGCAAAACTCAATTATCCTAACCACTAACTCAATCATACTAATCTCCTACCTCTCCTTTCTCCCTCAACATACTCCAGGATGTCTCATTTTAATTTGATTTTTGGAGCACTTCTGTTCATCTCTACAAATATTTCTCTCTCTCGTGTGTCTATGTATATTCCTTCCTCAACCTTATATCTTCAGATCGGACCTCGCCCTAACTCCTCTGATTTCTCTCTCCAAAATTTGGGGAAGTGAAGTCAGTAACTCGGTTGGAGGTCCCACAAAGGACCAAGCTTCCTCTTTTCCCTTCCCACCTCACAAATCTATCTTCTTACCAACCTGTCAGCCTGTCATTTCTTAATAGGAGGAAAGCAGGTTGCTTTTTTAAAATGACGTCCTTCTCCATCCCTCAGTCTAGTGCGCCTACATTTTCAGACTGCTCCCCTCCTTCTCGCTCCATCACCCGTCCCATTCCCATCCGTCCCCACTTGCCACCCCCTCCTGCCCGTCCCCCCTCCCTGTTCCTCAGCGCCCGGTGACGCCATCACGCCGTTCACGCAGCCCCACCCCCTGCAGAGCCCCGGACTCGCTCAGGATCGGCCGGTTTCCCTCAAACCCGGAATGTGAGGCCCGCCGCCCGGGGCCCGTTCCTCTCCCTTCCCCTTCCCTCCCCCTCACCCGCGCCCGGCACCGGTCGCCCTCCCCTCCCCTGATCGCTCCCTCCGTCCCCCGGGGCCGCCCTCGGCCTCCCGCTGTGGGCCGAGTTCTCCCGCGTGACTGCCGCCGCCCAGCCGAGTCCTCCGGGGCCAGGGGAGGAGCTCGGCACGGAGGGAGGCGGGGGCCGGCGGCGGCGGCGGCGGCGGAGGAGGCGGAGGCGGCAAAGGCTGAGGCAGCGACAGCCCCTGGAGGAGCCGGAGCAGCCGCAGCCGCAGGAGCAGCCCCGACGGCCCCGGCCCCGGCCCCGGCCGCAGCAGCAGCGGCAGCAGCAGCAGCGGCGGCAGCAGCGGGGGGAGGAGGAAGAGAAGGAGGAGGAGGGAAGGAAGATGGCGGCGGTGGAGCTGGAGTGGATCCCAGAGACGCTCTACAACACCGCCATCTCTGCCGTGGTGGACAACTACAGCCGCTCCCGCCGCGACATCCGCTCCCTGCCCGAGAACATCCAATTCGATGTTTACTACAAGGTCAGTGTCACGGAGGCCCGGGCCGCACCGCACCCCCTCCTTCCGTGCTGTCCCCTGCCCTCTCCTACCCCCCCCTGCCCCGTGCTTACTTAACCCCCTACCCCTTCCCGCTCACCCGCTGCAGCCGCTGCCCGGTCCTCTTCATCCCCACCCGCGTTGCCCACCTCCCCCGGTCCCTCCTGTTCATTTCGCTCGCTACTCCCCGCTCCTCCCGCTTACCCCCACCCCTTCCTGCTTACTCTTCCCCCTCCGGTGCTACCCCAGCCCCTTCCTCACCTCCCCGAGCTACCCCGCCCTGTTGCACTTCTGCCCCTCTTCCTCATCCTCCTGCTCCGTGCGGATCCCTCCCCTCCGCGTTCTGCACACCGCTCTGTGCTGACCCCTTCCCTTCAATCTGCACCCGTCCCCCAACTTCTCCTGCACCCCCAGACCCCGCTGTGTATTCCTCTTTCACCTCTCGAGTCTTTACCACCCGAATCTCCCGGGCCGCCTCCTGGGCCATAGCCCCGTTGTTAAGTCCATCTTGGCTCTCTTTCGAGGCTTCTTCTGCTCCGGGGCCCCCTAGTTTTCCTTGGGGACTTCCTTGCATCTTTTCCCTCCCCCTCGTTCCGTGTCCCCTGTGACATTTCCGGGACCCTCCACCCCCACCTTCATCCTCGTCTATCCTCATCTCCAGCTGGACTTTACTGCCCCATTCTCCTTCCCCTTCGGCGCCCACTCTGTCCGGGATTCCTTCCCTCTATGTGGGGCGGCCGGGAGCGGGGTAGTTAAAAGGCTCTACACATCTTATTTGAAAATCATTTTCGGCTTTGATTTGCACCTCTTAATCTATGTTGAATATTCGTACCCTTTGGTAAGAGTAGTAGATTAGGAGAGGGATCAACTGCTGGGGAAGGGAGAGGGCCGAGGGAAACAGGCCTAAACTGCACGGCCTTGAACAGTTTAGACGATATTGGTGTAGTTTTACCATGTTCTTTAGAGAATGAGAGTTCTTTTCGGCTTGGGACGGTGTTTTTTGCCTTTTCTCGGTAACTTGCAATGAGGTACTTTGTGCTCAATACTTGCTTGTTGATTGATTGTTCCTAAGTCTCTTCTCACTTTCCTCCCACCCCGCCAATTTTTGCTTCTTGAGTTTAAGGGTAAGTGCCCTAAGGCAAGGACATTTTTGCCTTGTCTTGTGGAGAGACTGCGGAATCCCAGCCTATGTCCTTTTTGTTTTCCTCCCAAATTTAAATGTGACCACTGGATTTATTCATAGAGCCTTCTCTCTTACTGGGATCATTACAATACTAGTTAATGAATGCGTTTGTCATCCACCCATTGACTTTTTTTCTCTCTTGTGATATTTAACCATATTAATTTGTAGGAAAATGTTGTTTTATGTCCTAAGTTTTTCGCGCCTATAATCTTAATTTCTCAGTTTTATAAATCAACCTATCCCATATTGATTAGTGCTTAATTGATAAAGTGCCGTGTTTTTCCTTTGTTTTGTTTTTTCCCTGTCTGTAGTCTTGTTAGGTTCCGTAGCTTTCTCCACCCCCTTAATGTTGCCATTAATTAGCAGCTGGCTCGCAATGTTCTGCTAAATTCAGTTGCTTTCAGCCACAAAGATGAGTTTTTCTAAATATTTGACAGTTTCATTTTGGTCCTGTATAGTAGCACTTGTTTCATGCAATATGTGCTGCTACTCATCCTTTAACATAACTTTGTATCTGTACAGCTAAAGAAGTTTGGGATGGTTAACTCCGTATTCATGCAGTGATTACCTGTATCTAGATTTTTAGCCGACTATTTCTCCCTTAGTCATTTTATTGACCTGTTACCAATTTAAAATAATTTTTTAATTACCCATCTTTTCCCACCAAAGGGATGTGTGGATATGTGGGTGTGTGACCAATTGGAAGTCTCCAAAAATATTTGGATGTATGTTACAGTTAAAACTGCTACCTTTATACATGTAGTTTACAACTCGGCCCTTGTGGATAAATATTAAATTTTAAGTCAGTATTCTGAGATAGTAAATTATCTTAAGAGGCATAACACTAACTTTTAATCAGATTTTATCATCCTTTAGTTTTCATTGCATTTGGTATCCCTGTGGATTGAAGAGATCTGAGACTTTCTATCAGCAGCCTTTGAGACTACCTTAGCAATAGAGATCAAACCTGTATTTTCATTGGTGGAGGGGCTGCCAATGAATTAGAGGCCACTTTAGTTGCATAGAGGACCGCGGTTTTTATTAACTTGTCCCAAATCACTGGGTGTGTCAGGGCTTTAATCTGATAAAGACCCTAGGGATGTTTCTTTCTATTTTAGTTCTCTACCTACTTTGCACCTAACTTTTAAAACGTTTTTAAAGAACTTGGGAATTGTAACCATTTCAGTTATACACTCAATCCAGTTTTCATTAGTGTTCACTGTATGTGGTCATTTTCTGGTAACTTCTTCAGATAGTATTTGTGGGATTAATAATTTAATAATCTTCTTAGAGGTACAATTTAATGTGACTTTATTTCTAGTTATGATTTCATGTTTGTTTGCTTTCTTGATATAGCCTATTTCTGTAATTATTGATGACCTATTAGGAACAGGGTTTAAACAAGTTAAAATCTGCAGATTGGTTATAAAAGTAAGTGTGCAAAAGTTTTAAATACTAATGTCCATCCTGAGTTTTAATAAATACACTTATTAAAAATGGCATGTCACCTTGAACGAAGTGTAGTTCTGTTTTGGATTAGAGTTTTAGTGCTCTGTACCTAGCAAATCCATCTCTTATGAAATTAATGTATTGAAAATTCCATTGTTAGGAGGCTGAATTGAGGAGAAAAAAGTAAGGGACTTTTTATAGTAAAACCTTAGCTATCTGGATCCCTATAATATCAATAATGTGTACTCATATTATCTGTATACATGCATATACATATGTATATATGGAAGGTTTGGCTCTTACAACTGCAAAACTTTTAATTTTTAAATTTAAAAAAATCATTTTTTTATGCTTTAGTCATTTCCTGAAGGCCTCTTCCCCTCCTCCATTGTAGAAACCTTCCTTATAACAAACAGTTAAGCAGCATTCCATAGCTGCAGTCCTCTACCTCTTTGCTGAGGAGAGGAATGTTTCAACTGTTCTCTCAACACTAAGATTGGACATTAATTTTTCTTTTATAGTTGCACATACTCTTCTGGTTCTGCTTACTTAACATTTCATAACTTTGATTACATACGGGACTTTTCTTTGTCTCTGACTTCCTTGATCAGTACCTTTGAACAGTTAGGTGACTTTTTTCAATTAATTATAAAATTTACAAAATTACAACTGTTGTTGATGGCAGTCACTTAAAAGTGTTTAAGAGGGGTGATTAAGGAGAGGCTGGTCGATTGAACAGGGTTAAGAGTTTTGTTTTGGATTTGAAGATATTTGAAGATGCCATGTCCCTAGTGTGAATATCTCTTTGACATACCATAAGTATTTAGGAGTGTAGATTTAGATATGGAAGGGACCTTACATGTTATATAGTCCAACCTTCTCCTTGTTTCACAGATGAATTAACGAGAGGCCCAGATAGGGAAAATGACTTACTTAAGGTAACACAGGTAATAAGTGGTAGAGTCAGTATTTAAACCCAGTTTCTCTGATTCCCAAACCACTACTTTTTACTGTACAAGTCTTTTGACATAATTACATTTAAGATGATTGAATCTTGATATTTGGAGGGATAATTGATTGAATGATGACTGGATCTGAACCTTGGAGTAGTATGATGATAGGAACCAAAAGTAGACCAGAGCTGAGAATAAGAATAAAAGAGGGAGCATGTGGGGCCTGCTTTTCTTGATAGACTTCTCCAGGAAACCCTTTTGCCACAGACATGGCAGCTGTGAAAAGGCAGTGGCAAAACATCAGAGTAATTTTTGGAAAATGAATTGAAGGAGTTCTTGGAATATGCCTTCTTGAAGTAAAAGTAGTATTGACAGTGGAGTTCTTATATATGCCAAACCTTCTGGAGAAGTCTCCATATGGAGAAGCTTAAGAGCGATAAAGGTCAAGGATGTGTAAAGGAGCAAACCTAGATCTTGCCAATCACAACCTTTGTGAGACACATAGAAACGTAGATATATAGATAAAGCATTTATTAGGCATTTATACTAGGCATTGTGCTGAATTCCGGGAATACAAATTATGAGCAAAGACATTACAAAAGGGAGCAGCTGAAGAACTTGCAGAAGGGCGGGAAGGTAGAAAAGTGATGGGTTATGTAAGCCTATTAGGAAAGGGGATAGGGTGACCCTTGAGCTGCTTCAAGTACAAAATCCTTTCATTTCGTATTGATATTTCCATGTTATTTTATGGCACTACAGTTACATGAACAGAGCACATGTTAGCTGTTAAAATAATGTAGCTATCATATTTTTCCTATAGATAGACCCTCCTTTCCTTTTCTCATGCCAGGGTGTATTAGAAACTTTTGATTGATTCACAGGGTTATTATCATAAGCATAATATAGAGAGTCTCTTTGGACTGTTTCATTTTATAAGGTTGCTTACCCTTTCACTGAATGACCCCGTTGTTCTATGATGTTTTTGTCAGCTATCACCTCTTCTCCCTTCTTTCCCTTTCTCCCTTCTAATTTGCTTTAGGTATATTAGTAAACTTGATACTAGGCTTGTTAGAATTGGGTGTAAAATAAGACTGGATTTTGAGTTAAGATTCATTGGGTTTTGCCTAAACTTTCAAGACATGGACTTTGATCTATATTAGTTTCTCAGAGTCCTATTTTGCATACTAGGTTAATATCACTAGTCACTTCTCAATGACTCCTTGTCCCACAACTCCCCTTAAAAGCTTCCTTATAACAGATAAGTACAGTCAAACAGTGAATAAACTGGTGAATAAACTGGCCACAGGTCTGAAAACGTGTATGCCTCATTGTGTACCTGTAGCCTGCCCACTTCTCTGCTAAGAGGTAAAAGGTTTGCTTCACTATCATTCGTTTAATAC